ATATTTAAGAAAATAAGGCAGTAGAAAACATCTCTTTATAAACATTAAAAAAATTCCTTACCAACTCAGTCAGCCTTATGTGTGTAACATAGAAATAAAGACTTACTTCCCTTAAAAATTTTTTTCTTAAATTGAGCTGGTACATGTCAGTTAAATTTGGATGGCCTTATATATTGATTGCTTCATTTTTTTTTTAGCATAATACTTGTGCCCAGAAAGAAACAAAGAAAAAAGAATATTTAGGTATTTGAGATAAGTATAGTCTTTCTCATTTTAGGTCAAAATTGACTTCATAGGACAACTTCTCAAACACAATTTTCTACAATATTATGGTGATAAACAATATCTTATTTAAACTAGTAGAAGAGGAGCAATAATGCAACACATACTCAGCATGTTTAAAATTGTATTTTCCCCTGCAGAGGAAGAAAATGTCAGAATTGCTTACCTGGGGATATGATATAAAAGAAATCTTTAAATTCATCCATCCAAACTTCTGCCAGTCTCCTGTTGTTCTTGTTGATGACATGACCAGTGCCACCAGGGAAAGTGTATGGAGTTGCCTTCCGAAAAACGTGACCCACGTGGGAGCAAGTCACAATCTCCAGTGAGCCTCCACATTGCCAAATCTGGAAAAAAAGAGCAACTGTTATATAGCAATCATTGCAGATAATGCAGTAATATTGCCTGAGAAGCAACTGAGGCTAACTCAGTTAAGACCAAATCTTCAGATCTTACATGGTTCAAACAACGTCGGATAAACACAAAATTTAGAATGGGTATACTTGGGTTTGGCAAAGGATTCTAATTTGGAAGAGTTTGATGTATTTAAATATTGTAGTATTGGAATTGTGGAAGATGTAATTATTTTTATGTGCCTTTATTAGACTACCTAATTTTCAGTTTCTAATAGTTAACCTAATTTCTATTTAATAGATATTGGGTATCCAAAATTTTCTATAAATAAATGAATTTGTACATGTTGGATGCCATGGTCAATAACTAAATCTGATTTGGAGAAAATCAACCTGCTATACCCCATCCACCTGGAACTTCAAGTAACCATTCATTTTCACCTCTCCATATCTCCTGTATCTTAGGCTTTTGAATACGCTATTATTCTTATTAAAGCATGCTAAGTATCCTTTACATCTATTCAACTTCTATGCATCCTTTAAAGCCCACTTCCAAGATCATTTCTTCTAGGCAGCTCTGTGGGGAGATTTAGTATTGTGTGACTTTTGTACTTTAAACACAGTTGTATTAAGAACATATTACAATGTATTGGGTTGGCCAAAATGTTCACTTGGGTTCTTCTGTAACACTGTACGGAAAAACTCGAATGAACTTTTTGGCCAACTCAATATTTTAAATTGTTTACTTCACTATTGCTCCCTTAAAATTATGAACCCTTGAAAGACAAATGCTATATATTTCTTGGCATCCTAGATTTACTGTTCAGTTCAGGATAGGTATTAAGTATCCATAAAACATTTATTTCTATAAAATTATATTATATAGCCATAGGTTACAATAATAGCATGTATGTGTATGTGTGTGTTATATATGTATATTATACATATAAATATATAAAATATATAAATATATATATACATATACTACATTTATTTATCCCAGTAAATGAAAGTCATAATTATTGCCATCTGTAATTGGAAGGACTTGGCTTTATACCATAAATAACATTATTCTTATTTTAAGAAGAGCTGTTGGGCTTCCCTGGTGGTACAGTGGTTGAGAGTCTGCCTGTCGATGCAGGGGACACGGGTTCATGCCCCGGTCCGGGAAGATCCCACATGCTGTGGAGCGGCCGGTCCCATGAGCCATGGCTGCTGAGCCTGTGCGTCCAGAGCCTGTGCTCCGCAATGGGAGAGGCCACAACAGTGAGAGGCCCGCGTACAGAAAAAAAAAAAAAAAAAAAAGAAGAGCTGTTTATTTTGGAAGAAAAGGTTTTCTCCTATTGATCCCTCAAGTAATATTCATCTGAGAAGAAGGCTGCTATTGGTCTTGGGTAGCAGTAAGAGACATCTTTTCTAGAAGATGAAAGATGATAAATAAGTAATACTCATCAACAATGTTTGTGCATTACATGTACAATCTATTCTATCTCATTTTCTAATTGTTTAAACAGTGTGATGCTAATAGAAAAGATCTTCCAACCCAACACTGAAATCATGGACAATATAAAAGAGGAATGGAATTCACCATTTCCCTAGAAAGACGGGCAGCTCATTCTTAAATAATCAAATTACTTAATTGATTGGTAACTTTCTCATCTTTCTAGCATAAAGTCTATAAACTGTCTTGTAATTACACAACTCTTTACATTCCTCCTTTCTATTAAAATGGAGGAAGTTGATCCTTCTCCTACCAAAGACAAATCAATACTTGTATGTCAGTCTAGAGCATATTACTTAAGTCTGTCTTAATGACTTCATTGATTTGGTCCTCCCCTTGAGTTTCTCCTGAAACACCAATCATTTCCCTCATAACTGGATTATGCCCATCTTTGCATAATACCTCCCAAACCTCCTATCTTTCAAACAGATTTAAAAGAGATAAACAAATTTTTAAAATTACAAAACACAACAAAAAGTCCATTCCTTGATCTATAGTCCCAACCAACATATCTCTTTTTTCTGTTTCCCCTCACTATAATTAATATAAATTTTTTACCGATATATGTTATATCCCTTCCTCAATTTTCATCTGTTTTTCTACTCATTGTGAAATGCTGTTTATTTCCGCAGTCCCACAATATTACCATGATGAAAACCACAAAGTTTTCCTTTGATGAATATCTAGCAGACTCCTTTCTTGGATCCTCTTGCTTTCCACCCTACTACTTCACTATTTATACATTTTCACTCTAAATTTTTATTTAAATGTTGGCATTATTCCTTCTTTATTCATTCTCCAGGTGGTCTTATTTGTTCTTATTATTTTATGCATGATCTGAATACACAAAACCCCCGCAGTAACATCTCAGCCCAGACTTTTCCTCTGGGATGCAGACTTGTGTATCCAAACACCTACTTGATACCTCCTCTTGCAAGACTCAGAGGCATCCAAATAAATGTGTCTGAAGTGCAATTGTTCATTTATCTCCACCTTGTCAGCCAGATCTTATTTTCTTTCAGTTTATTTTTGTTTTGTTTTGTTTCGCTTTTGTTTTGTTTTGTTTTGTTTTGCGGTACGCGGGCCTCTCACTGCTGTGGCCTCTGCCGTTGCAGAGCACAGGCTCCGGATGCGCAGGCTCAGCGGCCATGGCTCATGGGCCTAGCCGCTCCGCGGCATGTGGGATCTTCCCGGACCGGGGCACGAACCCGTGTCCCCTGCATCGGCAGGTGGACTCTCAACCACTGCACCACCAGGGAAGCCCTCAGTTTTTTTTTTTTTAAACCATCAATAAATGGAGCCACTATTCACCCAGGCAGTCAATCCAAAAACAAAACAAAGCAAAAATGACAACAGAACTCCCTTCTCCCCCGCCAAAAACCCCTAGAAGTCATCGCCAATTTCTTCTTTTCTTTCATCACTTATATTCCATCCATTAACAAATCCTGGTGGTGCTATATATAAAACAATTCTCAGTATATCCATCTCGCTCTGTCTCTACTGCCACCATCCTTGTCCTAATCATCAACATCTCTTGTCTGTCAGTTGTAATAGGCTCTTAATTGTTTTCTCCTTTCACTGTTGCTCTTCTATAATTTGTTTTCTGCTGAGAAATCAGAGTGGTCTTTAAAATTCTTAATCATGTCATTTTACTTCCCTGCTTCAAATCCTTCAATGGTTTTTCACTGCACTGTGAATATAAATAAAATCCTTTATCAGGGCCTCTAAGAACTACATGACTCTCCCCTTCTGTCAATAAACTATGGTGATATTGGCCCGCTGCCATTTCCTAGAATAAGAAATCACATATTTTTTTCACACACCAAAGCCTCAACACGTGCTTTCCTTATACCTGGAAAACAATTCTGTCAGCCCTTCACTGGACTGCCTCTTTCCCATAATTCTCATCTCAGCTAACATATCACCTCATCAGATTTTCCCTAATTGCCATATTTAAAGTGCCCCACCCAAGTTATTTTCTCTAATAGCACCCTATTTGTTTTCTTCATTGCTTATCACAATCTGTAATTTATTTCTCTGTTTGGCTATGCACATATTCCCCCAACTAGAATGTAGACTCTAGAAGGGCAGTGGAGAGGTTTACTCATGGTTGCACCCCCAGAGCCCAGCTCAGTGCTTGTTACATGGTAGGTGTCACTGTATGTTGGTTGAATGGAAGAATGGAAACTCAAATTTAACTACCAAGACTAACATTAAAAAAGCAACCCTGGGGCTTCCCTGGTGGCGCAGTGGTTGAGAGTCCGCCTGCCAATGCAGGGGACGCGGGTTCGTGCCCCGGTCCAGGAAGATCCCACATGCCACGGAGCGGCTGGGCCCGTGAGCCATGGCCGCTGAGCCTGTGCGTCCGGAGCCTGTGCTCCGCAACGGGAGAGGGCACAACGGTGAGAGGCCCGCATACCGCAAAAAAAAAAAAAAAAAAAAAAAGCAACCATGGCAGAATGATGAGATTTAAACAGACATATTTTTGGAGGGATTTTAAATTACATTTTTTAAGGAAATATTTTTAGTACAAAACTAGGCAGAGTAGTCTAGTAAAACGATATGCAACTGCTGTTCCACATGTCTTGGGAACTGAGGAAGGTCTTTGGAGGTCACAACACAACAAATAAACATCAGAAATGGTTGATGGTTTATGGCAAACAAGGTTGCTAAATAACACATTCTTAATTTTTAATGTGTTTTCAAAGTAACCATTTAGTCCAACTGATACTATCTCTTAAAAACATGATTTAGTAAAGTACTCAGGTGTTTGTACAGCTACCACACCATTCAGCAAGGTGCCCTGAATTCAGAAGAAATAGCATATGGTATGTTATACTTGAGGGGGAATTGAATAATTTTCCTTATTGTGAGGAGCACAGTGTTAGTGGTAGAGCTTTCCCTTCTCCTCTATGGATTAGGTATGACTAAAGAGTTCCTTTCTTCCTTCACCCAAGTCATATAAGGGAACTAAATGAATGGAGAGACTGGCATTTCACTCCTGGCTGGACACTTGCTGAGCAGCAAAATCAGCAGATTACCCTGGTGCTCCCATTGGAACATAGCAGAATATGGTGAGTGAGTCTATGGGAAAGCCTCAAGTGTGGGGAAAAACATGATGCTAGTAAAGTGGGGACCACCTGTAGTCTAGAGAATCCTGAAGGTGGGTTGGGGTTTATTGAATAGCTTGTTCCAGCAAAATTGATAAGTCCAGTGATGCAGCGACCCTGGGAGGGAGTGTTCTTTGAAGACAACTGGACAAGACTTCAGTGGTTTCAAAACTCTATAGAACATGGAATACAGACTAGAAAAAAAGTGATCTGTGGGACTAGCAATATGGCAGATCAGCAAGGAGATGTACCACTGGAAAAGGCAGCTGGGGACCTCACAGGGTGAGAGATAGAGAGTAAGATTTCCCTCTTCAAAAGGGCCTTGTATAACAGACGCGGTAAAAGGTGAAGTTCAGAACACTTTTAAGAAAACAGTGAAACCA